GCATTCGTCCACATTTCTTTATCGATGAGGCTGATGTAATCGTATCTTCCTTGTTCTTCGCCCGCAAATCTTGAAGCATTGATTCAAACGTTTGAGGAAGTTTCGTAACCTGATAAAAAAATGTATAACTTACTAACTTGCTTTATTTGCAAAATTAAAACGATTGAAAGAAAATAAACTACATCAGTTTCACTTACCCATGCGCACAATTAATTGAAGCTCATCATTCTTCTTGTACCTTCCATGATAGTTCGCAGCAATGTGTCGGAGACAATACATATATTGGATAAAGGGTGGTTGCCACATTGGACCCAAAGACTCTATTGTTGCTTTGATCACAGCTCTGCGATCTGAAATGACAAAGATATTTTCCCTCGTCATAACATGTGCACGTAAATTTTGGAGGAAAAAAAGCCCAAGAATTTGTATTTTCTCATTCGACAAGAGCAAAAGCAACTGGAAGAATGTTGCGATTGTCATCTTGGACAACTGCCAATAATAAAACTTGCTTGTATTTTTCATACAAGAAAGTCCCGTCAATCTGGACCACATGCTTGCAGTATTTGGCAGCATTAACGCATTGTGGGTAACTCCAAAAAACCCAGTAGAATTGGCTTCGATCGCGAAGAACTCGATCATTATGGTATGCATAGGAGGTTTCAAAGTTCACAATTGTCCCAGGGTTCAACGTCCGCACCAGCCTAAACCAACCTGAAAGTTCTTTGTAAGATGCATCTCATTCGCTATGAAGTTTGACAATGGCATTTTGTTTTGCCAACCAAGCTTTTTATAGGAGATAATATACCCATACTGCGATTGTATAGCTGAAATCAACACTGCAACAGCTATATGAGAGCTTGTTTTTACCATGGGCATGATGGCTTGACATATCATTTCAGAGTCCAAGTTAGGATGATCTTGGTTGACCCCTCCAGCACAACATGTGTGAGGACCGTTGTATACTGTTAGTTCCCATATGTTGTTTTTCCTCTTCATTTTCGATACGCGAACCATCCAATTGCATCTGTTTTCGCGTCGGGCACAATAACATACATATTTTCGGTCGTCGATCGATTGACTTTGGACTGAACATAATTACAAATATTGTAATTTTTTATAGCCATCACCACTTCTTCTTTGCTTGAAAACTCCATGCCTAAATATAACTTACCATTATTTATTGATGAGTAATATCCATAGTCACCAAGATGAGACATATCCGCAAATTCTGGCCCGTACATTGCACCATAATCAGCTTCATACATATGTGAAGGAGGGTCAGTTTGTGCCATATTTCCTGGAACTTCATCATCATCAGAGTTGAATTACGGTGATTCTGGGTGAATGAATAGTCCAGTCTCAGCACCATCCGCACCAGGCTCACGAAGCGGTTCTTTTGGTGGAGATGATGGTTCCTCCATGCTCTCCACATTTAGGTCGAAGAACCTACTACTTGCACGCCTTCCCCTTGAACTGAAAGGCATATTGACATTGAGATCGAAAAAGCTCGCAGTCGAATGTCTCCCCCTGGAGCTTGAAGCCATCGTGTCAAATAGAAACTGCACAGATGGTTGCGTCGATGGCATCTCCATATGGTCAAAGAAATTTGCAGATGAATGCATTCCCCTTGAACTGGACGCGGTGTTACCATACGGATTGTTTGTGGACCCACCTCAGTACATATCGTAAGGAGTTGCGGATGAATGTCTCCCCATTATTGCATTAAAATCATTACACATTACTGTAGTCGGGCTGTCAACTTGATCAACTTGTTCAGCCAACCCATAGTGGGAGCTTAATGATTGACCTCGAACAGCATGCACTTGAACAAAATATGCATACATCTCAATAGCGGCGTCTGAATAATTACTTTGAGCTTCAACCATCATTTGAACATCATCATTGTTTGAAAGTTCGAACGATGTATAAGTTAATGGCAACAATGATGTTGGAAATCTGTACTACAACGACAACATTCTTCTACTACTTCCAACATGAATCTTCCTCGAAATCTTCGTTATCAGCTCCTCAAGAGTTATGTTTCTCTTGAATGATATTTTAACACGCTCATTTGATACGAAAACAACGCCGGTTTCATCTTCTCGAATTTCACCATCATAATAAACAATAGCTAAAAGTCGCGTCATTCTTTGAGTTTAAAAGTGCGGCAATATTATATCTACACAAAAAAAAAATTGAAATAAACCTGATTAAATAAATTATATATGAACAAAAATATAACACAATAAATTTTTTACACATCAACGTAAATAATTTAAATAATATAATTTTATATTATTACATGTACCGCAAAACTATTTTGACGTATGCTCCTGCTTTTCAATTTTACAAACACACAAATTAATTGAAAATAATTAGTATAATATTTTTTCAAATAATCATAATAAACAATAAGTATAATAAAAAAAATTATAACAAAATTTATAACAAAAAATCGCACGAACTTCTAAATCAAATTTGAGAAAATTACCATAATTATTACTCGTTGACGGAATTGTTGTATTAATTTATAAGTTGAGAGGATAGATGTGAGGAGATGTGAGAAACTTAACCGGGAGTGAAGGGTATTTATAACCATATAAGGCGCGGTACCTGCACAGCGCTATATGTAATTATTCAGATAAAAGATATAGCGCGGGCCCTCATACCCAGTTATAGCGCTGAGCAGGGTAGCGCTATGTCCCTACATGGCGTATAGCGCGGATCAAGGGATACGCTATACCCACGTGTAAGTCATGTTAGCATATAGCGCGGTACAGGGGCGCACTATACCCCATGTGGCGCCAAATCAACATATAACGTGGGGGCAGGGAGGGCGCTTTACTGCTACGGGTATTAGATCGAGAAATATAATATGACCGATGTTAGATCGATAAATATACAGGTCACCGATGATTTTTCGAGAAAAACACCGTCCCTTTCATTATCTTTAACTCACCAATCACCTTAAATGTGTTTTCAAATTCGCAATAATACTTATAAAAATTCGTTCATATTGGCCTGAACTAAATGATTTTCGTAATAAATGAATTATTGTTATTCCTTGAGAATTTGAGTTCGAGCATCATAAATACTAAGGATATGAGCGTTCGATATAAAAAAGTGAAAAATTTATCTTTAAACATATATTATTTTGTATCACCCCTACATTAATAAAAAAAATGATTTGTATTCCATTATTAATTTTTTTTTATAAGTCGCGTACTTTATTTATACACTTCCATGCTCCATACCCCATAAATTGGGATGGATCAAGAGCTAGCTGATGGAAATATTTATCTTTATTTTACACATGTAACTCTTCTAATTTATTTATTTTAAATAATATTTTTTTTATAATTAGTGGTATTTGATGAACTTATATTTATATATCGAATATGAATATTATTAAAATATTTCATAAAGAGGGGGGGCCGCACGTGACAGGTCAAGGCAATAAAGTGGGGGTGTTTGTGCTGCATGAAATGTGAACCGTCATGTGTTAGGTACAGATGGATTTAGGTCTATCCTCTCTTAAAATTTTAAAATTACGATATATTTTAGATTTTATTTATATATTTTTTATTAAAATTTTAATTTTGACTTTTAAAATTTTATAAATATATATTTCAGTGCCAAATGCAGTTGTTTGTTCCTTTCAAGATATTCTTTGCAGTAATAATATAATTCCTTTTCTTTACAAGGTAAATTACACCCGATATGTGTTTAAATAATTTATAGAATCCGAGTTTAAAGATATTAATCGAATCAAAGATGTATACAACTTGTACACTGATATTAATTAGGGATGTTTAAAAATATTCAACCCGGTTGATCTGATATGTTGATCCGTCAATTCGAACCCAAACATCAAGTAATTGTCTAAAAAAATTTACTCTATCGGATCGGATATTTGATCTGTGATTTTTCTCGGGTGATTGGACCATTTGGTCCAAAATTTTATTACTTTTATTTATAAGACAATTAATATAATATATATATTAATTTTAAACTGTACTTTTTATTTTAGATTCAAAATATTTTATTTTATTTTAAAATTAAATTTAAATCTATATTTTTTAAGCTTGTATTATATACTTAGTTTTTAGTTTTTAATTTTTATTAATTTATTAATAGGAGATTCTAAAAAAAAATGATTGATATTAATATTTTCTTTTGAAAATAATTTATATATATATATATGTATGTATATATCCTTAAAAAGAACTTTGAATCACTAATTTTATGTATGAATTATGTATTATGAACTTTTAAATTTTATATGTAATTAATTTTTTTTAAAAAGATAATATATATACACCCAACTAATGCATACCCAAACTTAACAGGCCGAGACATAAGACGAGAAATATACTACCCTATACTTCAAGTACCTGATTTTGAACACCTTTAAATTATTAATGAAATAAATAGTTATTAATTTAGAAAATTAAAAATTAAGATAAATTATTTATTTATTTAAGTAATTTAATTTTAACCATTAACTATTTTTAAATACATATTATTATGTTTTATGTTTTATTTTAATTATTTATTATTAAAAATGAATACATTTTTGATGTGATAATTTATTATCTTTTTAATAATATATTAACATTAATATATTACCGTCAACTTTATAAAAAGAGAATAAAATAAAACTACAAAAATAAATAGATGACTGTAAATTATAACAGTCAGCCTAACATGTCCAAGCGGGTGGGAAATATGTCGCTGTCTACTGTCAGAAAATGAGCCCTCCAAGAAGCCAGCACAGCCGTGAAAGAAGATTTTCATCAGCAGCACCAAAATTAATCAAAGGAATACGTCAACAGCTGGTGTCTAGAGAGCACAAAATGGAGAAACACAAATAAAAATATCTCAAACCTCTTCAAATTTATTTTTTCCTTTCAAAATTCATGAGCTGAAAGCTGAAAATGGACACGTGTTCGGCTATCGAGAGCTTTCACAATTTCTTATGATTGTATAAATACCACCATTGCTGGGTTTCTCGTGAAGTGCTCACGAGCTTGAGTAAAGCTTTTAACTTGATAAACCAGTTAAACCACACATTGCTTAAAAAGGTGATTTGATTTACTTTTTTTTTTCTTTGCGAATCCAATTCCACAACTTTTCACTCGGTGTATGTTGTTTTCTCATTAAAAAATGCTTCCTTTTGGTTAAAAGATGACTCTTTTGATTCTGGAGTTTGTGAATCTTGCTTCTTTATGAGTTTAACGATCTGGGTTGTTTATATAATCTTAAATACTTTCATCTGATCCAACTTCTTGGGGGTTTCTTTTGATTTTCTTTTATGTGATCTACGGTTTGATTTAGTTCATTATCTATCTGTTTCAGTTTCATTTGGTAGGAGCTCCAATGGATTCTTGCTGTGCGGCCTTGAGAGTCAATTCTCATTTGGTGAATGCAAGAAAATCTGGCTATGGCAATGGGGACAACACATTTCTAGGGGAGAGAACAAGAGGGAGTCTTAATAACAACAGTGTTTGGGTCAATCAGCTGAAAAACAGCTTGAGAGCTGATGATAAGAAGATCAAATCTGGTGCTTTTGCTGTTCTTACATCAAACACTCCCAGGGAAGCTGTGGTATGTTGATCTTTTTAGTGATTTACTGTTGAAAAAAATGGATGATTTGCAATGATTCTTTGTAATAAGTGTTGATCTTTTCGGTTCTAGACTGTACAACCACGGCGATTCGAACGACAGCGAGTCGATCCCAAAACTGTGGCTTCGATCATATTGGGAGGAGGTCCAGGGACTCATCTCCTTCCACTTACCAAAAGGGCAGCTACACCTGCTGTAAGTCTATATATAGTGATGATGCTTAGTTCATGTTTGGTGATGAATTTGATACTTTTTAATTTGATTCGGATTCTTTGGTTTCGGTTTTGACCATGGTGAATGCCTTTTTTATGTGAATTTGATGTTTAGGTTCCGGTTGGAGGGTGCTATAAGCTGATAGACATTCCGATGAGCAACTGTATTAACAGTGGGATAAACAAGATCTTTGTTTTGACTCAGTTCAACTCGGCTTCCCTCAATCGCCACATTGCGCGCACCTATTACGGCAATGGTATCAATTTCGGAGATGGCTTTGTGGAGGTATGATATCCTTGTGTTGAACTTGAGTAAGCAAAACACAAGTCGGTCTTCGTTAAGGAGTTCTCGTATCCGATTCTATATGATCTGTAGTGATTGGAATAAGGATTTGTTGATTGTTAAGAGTACTTTAACAAAGCTCACTTGGTTAACAGGTTCTTGCAGCCACTCAAACATCGGGAGAGGAAGGGAAGAAATGGTTCCAAGGAACCGCCGATGCTGTGAGGCAATTCATATGGTTATTTGAGGTAGAAACCGAGTTTCATTTCCCTTTGTAATGATAAAAATGGCTTGGAATTCATGTAGTTTGCGTGTCATTCATCCGGATATTAAACGTGACGGATTGAGTTTTTTACATGTAGGATACAAAGATGAACATCGAGAATGTAATGATCTTGTGCGGGGATCATCTCTATCGAATGGATTATATGGAATTTCTACAGGTATTGATTACTTTTACTGGGTTGGAATCGTGTTTTCTGGCATTGCCAAGAGCCTAACTAACTTATTTGCAATGCATAACAGAGTCATGTCGACAATGATGCTGACATTACAATCTCATGCGTGCCTGTGGACAACAGGTATTTCGATCTTCTGCCATTTTAATGGCGTAGTTCTCGTTCGATAGATATATTACCATTTCTAATTATTCACTATTAGTACATCTAAAGAGCTGACCATGGATAACGGGTTTCTTTCCAGTCGTGCATCTGATTACGGATTGGTGAAGATGGATGGCAGGGGTCGTATCGTCCAGTTTGCTGAAAAACCGAAGGGTGCTGATTTGCAAGCAATGGTAAGCATTTTCGACTTTGGCATTATCGATTATCACAGCTTTTTCAGTGAGAAATTGTTTTATTTACTTCATGATTCTCTGCAGCAAACAGATACCACACTTCTAGGGTTGTCTCCCCAAGAAGCACTGAGATCCCCTTACATTGCGTCGATGGGCGTTTACGTCTTCAAGATGGACGTGTTATTGAAACTTCTGAGATGGAGATATCCGACTTCGAACGACTTTGGCTCTGAAATCATTCCTGCTGCGGTGAAGGAGCGTGATGTCCAGGTAAGAGCTATAAAAATGGAACATTCATATCTCTTTATACAAGCGACGGGTTCGCTTATCATGAGGCTTCAAATGCAAAACCGACCCCTACCAAAGAAGCATCATGCCATTCGTATTCATCAAGAGTTTCTGAATGTCTTAAGGCATCTGATTACTGTATGTACGTGCAGGCATATATTTTCAAGGACTACTGGGAGGATATCGGAACGATCAAGTCATTTTATGAAGCCAATTTGGCCCTCACTGAAGAGGTCGGTTTTATCGTGATACGCTTTCGTTTGTTCAAGGACAATGGCACTGCCTACATTCAGTCTTGTTGCATATACTTATCTCATCATAATGCTGATAAACTTGTCCTGTCTTTGCAGTTCCCGAAATTCGAGTTTTATGACCCAAAAACTCCTTTCTATACGTCTCCTCGCTACTTACCGCCAACCAAAATCGATAAATGCAGGGTATAGTTTGTCTACTTTGGATTAAAGTTGTGGCACTTTGTTTTTCTGCCTTCTCATGTTTTGGTTTGTTTATGCAGATTAAAGATGCAATAATCTCCCACGGATGTTTCTTGCGAGAATGTAGCGTCCAACACTCGATAGTCGGCGAACGCTCCCGTTTAGACTACGGTGTCGAGCTTCAGGTGAATTTTCATCCTTTCCCAGTTTAAGCTAAACCGGTTTTCTTTATCCCTTATACTTTTGACTAATCACGTTCACTCCTTTCCAATCTACAGGACACAATAATGATGGGAGCAGACTATTACCAAACTGAACCCGAAATTGCATCTCTGCTAGCGGACGGTAAGGTCCCGATCGGAATCGGACGCAATACCAAAATCAGGAACTGCATCATCGACAAGAATGCTAAAATAGGACAAGATGTGGTCATTGTGAACAAAGATGTAAGCATATCATCCTTTTTCATCCACTTAACCATTGCTTGCATTATTCGAAGTATCGACTAATTGTTGATTCTTCCTTAGGGTGTTCAAGAAGCCGACAGGCCGGAAGAAGGATTTTACATCCGGTCCGGTATAACCATCGTTATGGAGAAGGCAACAATAGCAGACGGCACAGTTATATAAAAATGCATCTCAGAGACTTCCAAGGGCAGCTCTATGATCAGAACTGAAGGTGCTTCGCAGATAGCAACCATGAACCGTCGATTCGGGTCTGAAAATCGGATACGGCATACTTCGTACTCGGTATTTTTCCTCGAAGAAAAGAAAAGAAGCTGCATTTCCATCCAACTACTATATATATGTAAATTACAAGCTCTTTATGCAGTGTAAAATAGATGCTGGATCTCAGAGAAAATAAGTTGCATCAAGATAAATGACAGCTTTGCAGCTCGCCTTTTCTTTGTATTAGTAGAGTAGAAGCCTGTATGTTTTATCCATTTGATGTCAATGTTCATCAAATAATCAATAAAAGCATGGATGATACCATGCATTTTAAGTTCGTCGAGATGTTATTAAGTTCATTCGAATCGAATCTACAAATCGGATGTCACACTAACGATCATGGCCTTCCCCAGACTATCGAAGAACCCTTTCTTCGAAATTCGCAGGGATGGAAACCGTCCATGGCCTTCCCCATCAGAGCCATGGCTGCAATGCTCGGAAATTGCTTCTTTTCGAGTTCGTCGAATGTCGCTGTTGAAGTCTGTGGCTCACATAGCACTAAAGCTTCAGGCTTTGTGTTTGGAGATTCGTTTCTCCGACGACACCATCTATGAATCCAAGATTTCGAAAGAGAGAATTCTCGGTTCTTCCTCGTCAAATCACCGGAAGGGTTGCCGTTCTTTAATAGCATTGCGGTTTGATCGCGTGCTGGCTCCGGTCTTGCCTGGTTTCCGTCTACCGTGGGTTCTGAAATGCTCGACTTGAGACGTTTAACACATCTGCGGATCGGCTCCGGTCCAAGAACATCTCGACAAGCAGCGGAAGTCGAGGGCTGCTTCGCGAGGTAAACGAGATGCGGTACATCTAAACTCTGGGTTTTCAAGGTACTTATCCCTCCATCATCGATCGAGTCCGCCACGGCCGAAAACGCAGGGAGCTCATTCATATCAGGTAATTCAGTGTTCGCATGAACTCTCTTGTTACTCTGCAAATCATTTGCATTAGTTGATAATGAACCAAACAATTGTCTTCCGACAAAACACACTAATTACAGAACATCAAGAATAGGATCATCAAACTAGTAAAATAGGCAAGAATTACCTCTTCTGATGAACACATGCTTGAAAGATGGATCTTCTGCGAAACATCCGATTCCATTGCATCAGTTTCAGCTGATGACTCATTCTTTAAACAAACAGTAGAAGGTCTGTCATCTACAAAATCGTCCTGCCCGAGCCGACCATGGAAACCGAAACCGGGAGATAAACTCAAGAACTCTCCGAACATGTTTCGTTTCGGTTCCCGGGTAACCGTGGCATCTTTGAAGTCATGTCCTCCGGTTAAGTTAGCACCAGTCTTCTTTGTAACAAAGAATTGGTGAGTTATCTGAGGATCCTTTCCATGCAATTCAGGGTGAGACGACTTACTCCGAACTATCGTACTCAAGTTAACGTTGAGATCGATCCTGTACTTGACTGCCTCACCCATGCTCGAAGTGCCCGGTGCATTGTTGTTCGAAGTCTTACCACTGTCCACCGTATTCCAAGATTTCAGTACCGTTTCCGGCCTGGAAAGCAAAGGATGATCATGCATCGTTTGTCGATCGTGAACCGCAGAGGACACCTGAAACTGCAATTCAGTAATCAGCAAAGACAATCAGACACAATCTATTAGGTTTCAACACACGAGCACAAATTACAATAAATTACAAATAAGAAAAGCAAAATCTTGCACTTCTATGGATCAACAAAATCTGCATAAACCTATCTTTTGCAGGAACGAAGCTGACTCTTCACATGCATACATACTACAAGTACGCAGATTCAGACAAAGCAAGGAATTCAGTAGACAAGTTAACTCGAATTAGACTCACCTCAATCACTGAGTCCAGGGTTCACCAGAAAAAGCAAAAGATGAACGGTGAAACAGAGAGTATAGGGATGTTGTGTTCACAAATGAAGGCAGAGAGAGTAAAGCTTCATAAACAGCCATTGCAGTGAGCCACATATGTTCATAGCTTTTAAGAGAGTTGAGCCGACAAGCTGGGGACAAACGAGGGTCCCATTAACTTTCACTTTTCTGATTGGTCCTTTTTTTGTTTATTTCATTACTAATTATCTATTCACACTCCGACAGCATGCAATAAAGGGATGGGTGTCCTTTGTCCACGTCATCCTATGAAAAAATCCGCTCATTTCCTGGAAAATGCTTAGATCTTCTTTCCCCAGAAAAAAATACCTTCTTCTTTTTGAAGAACCAGAAAAAAAAAACTATCAATCAAACATATGAAAGATTTTTCTAAGGTTGTTGGAGAGGTAACGTAGTGGTGAATATAGAAAAATATTATTAATTGTATTAAAATAAATATAATAAAGAAATAATCTAAAAAGAGTATATCTCACATATATAATATTATAATTTAAAAATTTAGTAACAACTAAAACCAGTGTAATTAAATGTTCAAAAACACTTTCAAATTTATGTGAAAAATACATGGTCTGAAATATAATATTTTCATCAATTAATATGAACTCTCATTTTCAAAGAATCAAACTCATCTATGATCGAGACAAAAAATATTAAATAATTTTAATTGAATAAGATATGATATTTGGAGTATCTTTTAAATTTTTATTATAATCTTGTAAATAATATTAAAAATTTGCTAAACAAACGACTAAAAACGTCACAAATTCATAAGTAATTAAATAATAAAATAAAGCATAGAATTTTAAAAAATGTAATAAAGAACTGCAAAAGAATATCAAAACTCAAAATGTTAGTTAAGATATTTGATTACTTTCCGTCTTTAAAAATAATTCTTTGAATTTAAAAATCACATAATAAAATGAATGGAATAAATTGGGTTGGAAGTGTCGTCATCGTCTATATAATATCCGATCTAAATTAGTGGGTTAATAAAACAAATACCAATGATTAATTAAAAAAACATATAATGAAATTAAATAAATAAATAAATAAATAAGAAATAGATACTAGTGATTATTTAAAAAAACACATAATAAAAATAAATAAATAAGAAAGAGATAACATTCTATATATATATATATATATATATATATATATATATATATATATATATATATATATATATATATATATATATATATATATATATAAAGAAGATATCTCTTAATTTAATAAGATACCTCGTGATATAAAAGATACATTTGTGGTTAAAAGAATTATTATTGTTCTTATAGGTAAAAGATTCTAGCATCAACGACTGTATGGGATAATTGAGCGTTTATTATTAAATAATTGAAAATATTTAAAATAAATACTATTTTTATAATTATTTTAGTTTAATCAGAAAAAAATTATAATTAAACTTGAAATTAAATAAGGCTCTAATTAATTTAATTTTAATTAAATTAAATTAAAATTAAATGTAATGCCAAGGCTTAGGCAGGCTCAGGCCTACATCTGCCCTTGAGATAATGGCTGTCTCTTGGAACTTTAGGGGGTGTTTGGTTCAAGGAATGTGGGATTCTCATGGGATGGGAATCCCACATTCCCATGTTTGGTTGGCCGGGAATCTCATTCCCAGTAATGTTTTATTACCAATAGTAGATTTTTTGGGGTATATTACCGGGAATGTCATTACCTCCCTTCCCTTAGGTATTGTAACATTACCGGCGTTTTGGACTAAAATGCCCTTAAATTTTTATTTTTTTTCAAAAATATCCTTCTTCTGTCATTAAATAATAAAAATTCTACGAATGTTAAATTACAAATTTATCCTTAAATTATTTTAGATTTACAAAAAAAGTCTATAATTAAAATTTTATATGAAGTTTAGGGGTTAAATTTTTTTTACCCTTTCATTAAACATTTTTTATATTTTTAATTTTGTAAAAAAATTATATAAATATTATGAATTTAATTTTTTAAAGAAAATATATAAATATTTTACAATTTGTAATATTATACAAATATATATAATAAGGACAATTTGGTCAAATATACATTCCAATAATCTTTTATTCCTTTGACCAAACACGGTAATCTTACATTCCTGCTAAACCAACCAAACACAAAATACAACATTCCCAGTAATCCTATTCCCTGGTAATCTTTTATTCCCACTGGTAATCTTACATTCCGTGAACCAAACGCACCCTTAAATTTAAATTTTCTCAACTTATCTTACTTCACTCGTATTGTCAAGGTTTTAGCTTTTGATATTATTTAAGAGATTTAATGATTTATTTTACTAAATAAAGTAATTATTGATAATAATTAATATTTATTTTGATGTAATACATTTACATATATTTAATTATTTTTTATTAATATAAAGCGATTACAAGTGATAATATATATTCTAGTATTTATTTATTTATATAGTAGTGTTAGATGTTAGATTATAATTATAGTTATTTGAATGTTTTTGAAAAACATTTCTATTCACTTGAATTTGACATCAAAATTAGATACCATTAAGATCAATTTTGATTCTTAATTTGTTTAATTTTCAATAAATTTATTAACATGTATTTATTTTTTCCCTTATTACTTTCTTATATAAGCCTAAAAAACTCCATAATAAAAGTCAGGGTAAATTACACATTTAATATTTAAACTATCAGTTTTGATTCATTTTAGTACATAAACTTTCAATTTTTTTTCAAAAAACATACCTAATGTTTATTTTTTGTTTCATTTTATTATCACCGTTAAAAACTTAACACATTTGGTACATAAACTATCAATTTTGGTATGTTTTAGTACCTTTTTTTGCAAAACTTAAAGTTAAATTTTGAACACGGGTACCAAAATAAAACAAAAGCTAAACTTTAGGTATGATTTTTAAAAGGTGAAAATTTAAGTACTAAAACATATCAAAATTAATAGTTTAAGTACTAATCGCATAATTTATCCTAAAAGTCAAACTAAAGAATACCAAAACGACAATAAGAAGATGACAAACGCATGGACAAATGGCTAAAACGGCATATTCTAAATTATTTCCCGTTTGAATGGATCCGTTTTTTCCAACGACCACTGCTCAAGCATTTTCACTGTCGGTAAAACTGAAAATCAACGCAGTAAGAATTAAAAAAAGTAAAAATTATATTTTTTAAAAAATGAAAAGAAAAAACATAGATATACCCATCTCCGTCTCCGAATACATCTGCTCTGTGATCGGCTCTTTGCTTCATCTTCGTCTCAAAAACACAAAAAAGAAAAAATAATTTCTCAGAGAGCCCAAAGCTTAACAACGGAGAGTCCTTTCGAGGTTACTCTTTCGTTTATTTCAATGTTTCTTTAGTTTAAACTTCATTTTTTAAGTTTTATATTCATTGTTCATAAAGATCTTTACTTGTTTTCTAAGCATTCAATAATTTTTGTTAAAGTTCATGGAAGATTCCCCTGTTTATTTAACGCTTTATGCTATTACTGTGTAAATACATGATCTTTTTTTTGTTTTCTGGATCTGGGTTTTTGAAGCTTTGTTGTTTCCTTCTAAAAACGCTAGGATTTATGGTTTGGTTTGTGAGAAAGCTGAAGCAGAGTTTTGGGATCTCATCTTGTTTTCGTAGCTTTGGGTTTTATTTTTTTGGTGATGTGTGATTGGTTTTTGTGGTGGGTTTGTAATCTCAGTTCGTATCTTCTGGTCATGAGTTTTCAATGCATTTTCTTGGTTTACAATCATAGAATTAGGGTTTTTCTCTAAATTGGATTCATTGATTGAAAATGACATAGCTAGTTTGCTTTGTGATGCTTAATGGTAACTATGTTTCATTGGGAACTTAATGGATCTTTGTGCTTAAGTTGATTGGTATTCTTCTCTTATGGCATAGAATTTGCAGCTAATACCGAATGGAGGGAATCGGAGGGGGCGGTGCGTCAGTGGCTTCGCCGTTGCCTCAGTGGGGGCACGACGCTTGGAGAATGTATCAGTATTATCTGGATAAGTCAACTCCTCATTCGACTTATAGGTGGATTGGAACCCTTGTTGTAGCAGCTGTCTACTGTTTGCGGGTCTATTATGCTCAAGGGTTTTACATCGTCTCGTATGGCCTAGGGATCTACCTGCTAAATTTGCTAATTGGGTTTTTGTCTCCACTTGTTGATCCCGAACTTGAAGGTTCTGATGGACCTGTATTGCCGACGAAAGGTTCAGATGAATTCAAGCCGTTTATCCGCAGGCTACCCGAGTTTAAGTTCTGGTAATTGAAAACTTTATTTCATATGGTTTATTAAGGGAACACTGCAATTCACTCGAGGTATATTGATCTATTTAGGCAAGCACAAAAGCACCGTCTGGTTTTTTGAGATAGCTGGAAACAATACCCTTTATTATTCACCAAACGGAAAAAAGATGTGAAAACATGTGCTGCCAGGTTAAATGGTGTGATCATTCGTTTCATTTCATGATTGTTGATGATGATTCAAGAAAGAAAAAGGAATATTTACTTTATTGCGGGTATGATTATAGTAGCTTGTATTCAATTGAAATTTAGGTCTTAGTTATCTTTATTGCTTTTTCCTTTTTGAATCTCATAATGGAGTTATATGTATGTATGTATGTATGTATGTATGTAAAGGTTTGGTAGGTAACTCTCTTTATTGTTTTAACATTGTTCGGTTAATTGCAATGTAAAATGACTTTAATTTTCTTGGACAAAAACTTATCTCATAGATTCTGACCTTTGTCATTCTATTCGGTGTTCTTCTGTAAGTCTCTGATTCTGCAAAATGAGGAAAATGTGCTCGAAACCATTTGCTCTTTATCTGTCTATCGTATTTTGTCATCTTCGATGCTCGTTGTCTTGCTTGTGACAAATATGAATTGGTGCTAAATGAATGGACATTAAAGTATGAATATAATACACACGTTTTATGATTTTTTTTCCAGGTACTCCATGACAAAGGCTTTCTGCATAGCATTTCTCATGACTTTCTTTTCCGTTTTCGATGTTCCCGTCTTTTGGCCTATATTGCTTTGTTATTGGGTCGTTCTCTTCGTTCTTACAATGAGGCGTCAGATTGGGCACATGATCAAATACAAGTATATCCCGTTCAACATCGGAAAACAGGTCAGCTTGTGAACCATATTTGAAACTTTACCAATGAGATTTCTTTGCTTTAAATTCTACCGGCTATAGGGAAGTCTAATATCCGTCCTCCTCTCTTCGACAGAAGTATACCGGTAAGAAAGCTTCCGCAAGTAGCAGTCGTGTCCGTGGGGATTGAAGCTTGATCGTTTCATTTGGACGATGATTCGTTATCGTAGATTGTCACCGTCGGAGAAGATGCATTTATGTTGTCTGTGGATTTTTTTTTAATATGCAGTTACTACAAACATAAAAGTTCAGTTGTCCCTGTGAAGAAGATATTGACATCCAGAGCTGAAACTTTAGTGTTTATACATATTGTCAACATTTGATCAAAGTTTTTTGTGATTATTGGCCAGTAATGTATACAACAAATTATTGTTCCACTTCACTGCTCTTTTATATTAGTATTGCGATTGGAGTAAACTGAGTTGGAAGGGTCGCCCTTACCTATGCAGTACATGATCCGGATTAGTCGATCAATAGATTAAATAAAAATAAATATATAGAAATTACAACAAATTTTTAGATCTCCATATACGTTATTTATGTTTGATGAGGCCTAATTATCTATATTCAATTCCTCAATAGATATCGGAAAAAGAATCCCAGAGATTGTATGAGTGTATAGGGTCATAATAGACTTTTTCTTTATACATTTTGATTTTCTTTTTACTATTAAAAATAAATGTATAGAAATTACAATAATATTTTATATTTTATTATTATTTGCAATTCATGCTAACATTTTTGTTGGAGGAGATACCAATTCATGAATTTTTAGGGATTATAAGTAGCAAATATACTTCATCAGGAGAAGGGAGTTTTTAGGGGTTTAGATATTTTAATTGTTTTATTTTTATTTTAAATATTATTCAATATTAGATGTTAATAAATTTGTCATGTCATAATAAAATATTTTATTTTATTAAAGAGCGATTAAAACAGAAGTAATTTAAAAGCTTAGTGGTTAGATTAAAAAATTCGTAAACTTAATTGACCAAAATAAGAGTTAAAAAATTATTGAATGATGAATCATGAAATTTACCCAATAAAGTTCATAAAATTTCCTTCAAAACCTACTTCTTTTTTGCGCTATTTAAAACCTACTTCATATATATCTTCACTCGTCCACCGCCGCCAGAGAAACCTCTCCACCGCCGATCTTTTGCCTTCAAGTTCCGTACGGACGAGGTAAATTGATTTCTTCCCCTGTTTTTGCATTACCCTGCTCTATTTGATTTTCTGTCTCGGATGCTACTGCTTGTTTCTCTGTCTCCCTCTGTTTGCTTTGCTTTGCTGAGAAAGGAGTATACTTTTAAAGCTATAGGTTTAGGTGTTTCCTCTTAGGGTCTAGCGATTAGTCTTTTTAACATCATTCTAACGTGCCATGTTTTCGTTTTTCGTCTTCTCCATCAGCTGTTGGGTTTGGATTCGATTGAAGAGAGGGTATGGGTAAAGTGAAAGGGAAGCATAGGTTAGATAAGTACTACCAGTTAGCCAAAGAACACGGCTACCGTTCCAGAGCATCATGGAAGTTAATCCAACTCGATTCCAAATTCTCCTTCCTAAAATCAGCCCACGCCGTCCTCGACCTCTGTGCAGCCCCCGGTGGCTGGATGCAAGTGGCCGTGCAGCGTGCTCCTGTCGGCAGCCTCGTACTTGGTCTTGATCTCGTTCCTATCGCTCCCATACGAGGTGCGGTCGCTCTCCAACAAGACATAACCAAATCTGAATGTAAGTCCATGGTTAAACGGGTCATGGAAGAGCGTGGGGTTATGGCGTTTGATGTAATTTTGCATGATGGATCCCCTAATGTTGGTGGAGCTTGGGCTCAAGAAGCAATGAGCCAAAATGCTTTGGTTATTGATTCGGTTAAGTTGGCTACCCAGTTCTTGGCCCCTAAAGGCACCTTTGTTACCAAGGTTTTTAGGTCCCAAGACTACAGCTCCGTTCTCTATTGTCTGAAACAGGTGATAAACATTAATCAGAACCATAGAGACTCTCTGTAAAGTTTGGTTTTTAATTCGACACCTTTTCGTTTGGTTTGCAGTTGTTTGAGAAGGTTGAAGTCGATAAACCTGCTGCTAGTCGTTCAGCATCAGCTGAGATTTATGTTTTGGGGCTAAGGTATAAAGCCCCTGCAAAGATTGATCCACGTCTTCTTGACTTCAAACATCTGTTCCAGGGATCAATAGAACCACAAAAGAAGGTTTTTGTTTCATTTTATATTTCGAAAATCTCTTCTTTCCTCCATCGATAGTATCTATGCTCATTTTTTATTGCTGCACGTTAGGTGATTGATGTGCTTAGGGTAACTAAACAAAAGAGACACCGTGATGGGTACGTTTTGATCATACACTAATGTAACTGCTTGTCTGCTTTGTTCATATTTCTGTAAATATTTTCAAGTGCTAACTTTGTTTCTAACTATGTGCTGATCACAGGTATGAAGATGGGGAGACAATCTCGAAGAAGATGTCTACTGCCGCTGACTTCATTTCGTCTGATTCTCCTCTCGAAATCCTTGGTTCGGTTACTACCATAACCTTTGAGGATCCAGCTTCATTGCCTATTAAGGATCACAGCTATACCTCAGAAGAGGTGATTATCATTTCAATATTTTTAGTCTTACCTGCCTTGAAACTTGTTACTTACTTCGCTGCTGTCTTGACAGGTCAAAGCTCTTTGTGATGATCTGCGTGTTCTAGGAAAGCAGGATTTCAAGTACCTTTTGAAGTAAGAAACATTCTTTTCAGTTTTTCCCTTTTGAGATTTTTAAGTCTAAACAATTTGTGATAATAAGAAAACATGTGAAAGTAAAGCTATAATCGGAGCACTAGGTGCATAGGACTATGAGTGGGAACTTGATTTGAATTCCAATTGTTCATCTGATGGGAAAAATGTTAGATCTATGTGCATGAATGTGACGTGTATTACATGACTTGAGTACGTTGATTTTATATTTGATTTTTGTGTAGATGGCGGATGCAATTGAGAAAAGCTTTGTCTCCTTCAGAAAAGGCTACTCCTCCTACTCCTACCACTGCTACAGATGTTGATAAAGGGGATGAGGAGAATGAAGATGATAAATTACTCAATGAGATGGAGGAGCTCACATATGCCATGGAGCGTAAGAAGAAGAGAGAAAAGAAGCTGCTTGCAAAAAGACAAGCGAAGGTTTATTGCCTTATTAAACCCTGTATTTATGTCTTAGTGCAAGTTACCATGTGTCAGAAATCATGATTGGAATGAATTTTGTGATTATAGCAATGATAACTTACCTGCAGTATAATAATTAAATTATTCCTTTTTTCCTTTTGAAAAAGTTAAGCATCCATCTTATGGATGGGTTGATATTTATTATGTTCCACTTAGCTGTAGGATTTTTTTCATGCCCGCTCGTTTAGTTGCTGATTTCTTGCCTTGCTGTTTTGCAGGACAAATCACGGAAGGCAACAGGAATGCAAATCGATGCCCTTGAAGATGGTTACGTTGATCATGAGTTGTTCTCTCTTTCTTCCATTAAGGTTTGTTTTACTAAGACTTCAAACTGGATTAACTCCAATAAAGTTTTTTACTAGCAAAAATACAATTTATTACTGAAAGTATAAAAGGATGTTCTCTCTATCTCATTTGAACCAGAGGCATAATTGACGTTTAATCTTGTTGATTATTAATCTTAACATCATTTCCGTTTACCATACATTGTTAACTGACACGATACACTGTGTAAGTGCTAAAAGGAAGTTTCTTCTATCATCTGTAAAAGTATTAGGTTTCCTAAATGAACTAATGAAGTCATCACTACCCTGCATATTTCTTCTTAATTTGTTGTTTACAGTTATGATTCTTTGGTAGTTCCTGAAAAGTTAGGTTGTCTTTTACCGTTTCTACTTTGGCATAAACTTTTATTTGATACTGGTCTATTACTGATTTTAGGGTAAGAAAGATCTTGCAGCAGTTGATTCCACCGAGGACGATGATGGCAATGTTGACTCAAGGGACAGTGAAGATGAACAAAATCGAGAAGGAAGCACTGAAGATGAGTCATCCAGTGATGTTGATTCTGAAGAAGAACGCAGAAGGTTAGTGTCTTCTCATGACAAATATAATTTCTAACGTTCTCTGTATGTTAACCTCGAAATTTTAATGTTAGATATGATGAAAAAATAGAAGAGATCCTTGATCATGCGTATGAGGAGTACGCTGCCAAAAAGGATGGAAGTACAAAGCAGAGGAAGCGTGCAAAACAGGCCTATGAACAATTAGAGGTATGAAGCACTTAAAGTGTGCTAGAACTCAAATATTGGATCTCTCGCACAACTTTAACTAAAAAGAGAAACACGCAGTTGTATCTTTAAATTGAATTTCATATATCACATTTCGTGGTAGTTTTATTTCGTCACATCTCTTTGTTTCTGATTTGCAAGAACCCTGTTCTACATCTTCCTTTTGTTCTCCCTTATTTATTGACATCTCCATACTGCTGCCCTTATTGAATTTCTCTTCATGGTTGTTAAGGATGGTGATGGTGATGATGACATTCTTTCCGATCATGATTCGGACAAGGGTGAGGCTGATCCTGAAGCAAATCCTCTTATGGTACCACTAGATGATGGTGAAGGACCAACACAAGAGGAGATTACGAATAGATGGTTTGGTCAGGATATTTTTGCTGAGGCTGTGGAGCAAGGGGATTTAGGGAAGTATGACAGTGATGATGAAATGGAGGTCGATAACCGAGAGGAAAATCCAGTGATTCCCAAGAAGTCCAAAGTAAAGCAAAAGCAGGATGCGAAAACTTCTATCCCTGACGAGGCCAAGGAAACGGAAGTAAACAATGCTGCAGGCCCGAAAGGCTCCAAACTCCAGGCTTCTAAGGTAGATGATGAGTTTGAGATTGTTCCAGCTCCAGCTACTGATTCCAGTGATGACTCGTCTTCAGATGACACAGGGGACGATGATGTTGAGACAAAAGCTGAGATATTAGCTTGTGCTAAGAAGATGCTGAGGAAAAAGCAGAGGAATCAGATTCTCGATGATGCTTACAATAAATATATGTTTGATGATGATGGTTTACCCACTTGGTTCATAGATGAGGAAAAGAGGCATCGTCGACCAATTAAACCTGTTACAAAGGAAGAGATCGTTGCAATGCGAGCACAGTTCAAAGAGATCAATGCTCGACCCGCTAAGAAAGTTGCAGAGGCAAAGGCTCGAAAGAAGCGGATTGCAATGAAAAAACTTGATAAGGTGCGCCAGAAAGCAAACAGCATATCAGACCAAGCCGACATCTCTGAACGATCAAAGAGGAAGCAAATCGAACAACTATACAAGAAGGCTACACCCAAGAAGCCCCAAAAGGAATATGTGGTTGCAAAGAAAGGGGTTCAAGTTAGGGCGGGCAAGGGGAAAGTCCTTGTTGATCGGCGAATGAAAAAGGATGCTAGGGCACGAGGAACCGGTAAACCTGGAAAAGGCGGTTCGAGGAATGGAAAGAACGGAAAAGCTAAGAAAGGTAAAGGATCCGGCAAAGCTTCAGGTATGAAAGGAAACAAAAACAAAGGTGGTCGCATGCATGACTGAACAGCTTAAGTTTTGGAAGATGCAATTTTGGATAAATTAAACGATTAAACAATTTTAGATTTTTTTTGGTTTTGAGTGTTGTTTATTCAAAATTAAGGTTACAAACCTTAATGCCTCAGATCTTTTAAGTGATTAGTTTCTGATCAAGAGGTTTTGAATGATCTGAAGACTCCTCTCATATTTCTGTTGTTCAAGTTATTAGTTACTCATATTAGCCTTCTTTTCATATTGGTCTTTAAACTTTTGAATATTTAAATTTCATTCCCAGACTATGACTCATTCTAAATGAGTCCTTTAAGTTTTGAACATTTTAATTTCATCCCTTCTTCCTAGATTGTGGGTTCAATTTCTATTAAAGGCAAAATTAAGGATTTGTTATCATTCAAAGGATATCATATCATTTTACATGCATGTAGTGTACGTTGTTTCTATCGCCTTTCTTCATAGATGCTTTATTTATGTTAATAAAATTTGTTATTATTATTATTGTTGTTGAAATAATAATAATAAAATTTATTATTGTTGTTGTTGTTGTTACTTAGAACATTAAGAGAATATTATGGGAATATGGTTGATTATTGTAATAATATTATCATTAGTAGCATCACTGATACTGGTAGGTACGTAGCAGCATAATGGGGGTTCGTCGTCGTTTAACGAAGGTGCATTAGCCATATTCTTCATTTATTTAGCTTCACATTCTTCATCCTGCTGCTGCATATCAAAAGAACAATGTAAAATAATAGGAATATTATCAAATATGGACGTGTTTTAAATTACAAGAAAAAAGAGGTTGTAGATTCAACTCCCATAAATATAATTATCATTATTGTTAATGATGACATTTTAAAGAATATTCGTTATCAGATGATTTAGAATTTTTCAAATACATACATTATCTTGCAATCATTTCGACAATCATACAAGAGTACTTCAAATTTTAGATACTAATTTATAATTGTAAGAATATATTAACCCTAGATAAATAAAATTGTATACTATTGTAGGAGTTGTCCCAATCCTTCGACGAGACCAGTGGTGAGCGAGTCCAATGGTAAAATTTTAATTGGATTAAATAGAATTTGGGTTATAAAGTATAATAGAATATTTATATACGTTATGATTATGAAATTTAAACTTGTAAGGTCAAGTTCGAATCTTATCACCGTCACTCTCGGTGTATAATTTATAAATTTTCATGTAAATCCTAATTAAGTCTTAGGAATACATTAACCTTGGATTAGAGAGTCACCGTTAACGTAAACTTTTTGTAACAAAAAAAATCCCTTGAACTATAGCAAATCGAAATCCCATTTTTTCCGTTTTTGTTTTAACCTTTCGATCATTGAGGCATCAACATCAATTATGTCAAAGAATGTACATGTTTTTCATGATCAATGAGCTAGTTTATAAGGCAATGTGAAAATTACAAATCATGATCAAATATGTCTCAAATGTCAAATGGCTCTTCCATGTCTTTATTTACAACAAGATATGGTAAATTATTTGATGCAATAACATCCCTTTCAAACAGTCCCTAAAATGCGCACAACACATCAAAAGCCGACACCATATGATGAGAAAAATTACCCATATTATAATTCCTATTGTCGGTGTTATATATTGATGCGAAAAATTTAAACAAATCATAATATTTTAAGTAGCGCCCAATATTAATATTTTCGGTATAAAAAAATGTTTTAGATAGTGTTCTACTAAAAATATTAAAAATTTTAATAATTTATTTCCTTAACCATATATTAAGACGGTCCTACCTCACATCCTTAACAGTATATGGTGTGCTGATCTTGTTATGTTGTTTTCGGTTAAAGTGCTTAACAAAAGTCAATGTCGGCTTCATGTCTGCTGCTTCTTTTCTAACAAATTATATATTTTTGGATCGCAATGCATTTTTAAAACGATTAACTCATACACTATTAGTTAATATTTTTATTAAGTAAATATAAAAAGGATAAATTACATATTTTGTACTTAAATTATTGCTTTTATTTCGTTTTAGTATCTAAACTTTAATTTTTTTTAGAATCATTAATGACAATGTTTATCCGGCATGAAATCAATTTTTTATTAATCACATTTTTTATTCGTCGGCATTTCTGGGGCCATTCATACATATTTAGACCATGGAACCGCTTGTTGATACCAAATGCTCATTGCTTTACTAATTTAATTGACAAGTGCCTTTTGCATTGGTTGCCCTCTTGCCACCATTGAATCCTTCAACCTCCATCTTAACCACTGCACCAAGATGACGAAAACGATCACCTCCTGAAGAAAACATCCCAGAAAAATCGGTGGCGGTGTCGACCGGAGTCGAGGGAAAAAACCGAGAAACCGAAAGTCGATCATAACAGTAGTGTTTCAACAATTTTCGAGTAACAAATGTTAAAAAAAACTCCAGTTAACCAAACCAAAACAAATTCCATTTGTTATGGAAAAAGTACATCTGCAATGTGTATTGGTGTATCCTTGGTTCAATTACGAAAAACAATCAACAGGCGGACAAGAATATCCCGTAAACTAATTAATTCCAAGTCCGCAGATCGGGTTCCGTTTGATGAGACCGAGGTCCACCTGCAACGACAACCATACATGAGTTATCCATCGGAAAATAGCCGCTATGCAGCGAGACAATACTCGGCGTACGTGTTCGTACCTTGTGTCCGGAGAGATGATTCCATAAAGTATCATAGTCGGTCTACGTCACGCAAACAAAAACGGAAACCAATACTTTGTTCAGACAACTTTCTTCAGCAAAAACTCATAATGCCGGACTATATAAGATATTAACCTCTCGGTTCTTACCTTTCGAGGGAAAGGCCCAAGCAATCACGCGAACATCCTCCGGGAATCCTATTGGAAGCAACATCTCCGGTCTGAACATACCGGAGTTGTCAATTTCGACCCATTTCTCCGGACTGAATATAATCCTCTGGCAGTTCCCTCGTGGTGGACAGGAGTTATCAATCGGAAAATAGCCGCTATGCAGCAAGACAATACTCGGCGTACGTGTTCGTACCTTGTGTCCGGAGAGATGATTCCATAAAGTATCTGTTAAAAGAAGTGTAATTACAGAAAACGTGCTCCATCTCTTTCATTATCTACAAAATAAGTTTACAAGACCAAATCCTTTATATACAGCCCACCAACCGTTACAAGCCTAACTAACAATCTAACTAATTAATAACTGCAATCTAACTAATTAACAACAACTTAACTAATCAAATAATAGAAAACTAACACTCCCCCTCAAGTTGGTGGTTAAAGATGTTGATTAACCCCAACTTGGAACTCAAATATTCATGTTGTTGAACTCCCAAAGCTTTTGTTAGAATGTCTGCTTGCTGGTCTGTTGTCTTCACATACTCTGTTTTAATTATTCATTCTTGAATTTTTTCTCGAACAAAATGACAGTCAATTTCACTGGGCTTTGTTCTTTTCTGCAGCAGTCATTGCCATACTGCGATACTCTGCCTCTGCAGATGACCTTGCAATTGTGTTTTGTTTCTTGGACTTCCAAGATAGCAAAGAGTCCCCCAGTTTTACACAAGAACCAGTTACTGACCTCCTAGTCATTGGGCAAGTTGCCCAATCTGAATCACAAAAGGCTTGAAGTTGGCATTGACTTTTGCACTCAGCAACACTCCTTGACCTGGACTGCTTTTGATATACATGACCACCCTCAAAGCTGCATCCAAGTGTAATTTCCTTGGTTGCTGCATGAATTGATCAACAATTGTACTGAATAAGCAATATCAGGCCTTGTGTTGGTGAGATAAATCAATTTCCCAATCATCTTTGATAACTTGTCTTGTCCTTTAACAGCTCCACATCAACTTTGCTGGTCCTGTGTTGTTAAACCCAAGCTCATTCAGTAAGCCTGTTAACCACACTATTTCTGCAGCAGTCATTGCCATACTGCGATACTCTGCCTCTGCAGATGACCTTGCAATTGTGTTTTGTTTCTTGGACTTCCAAGATAGCAAAGAGTCCCCCAGTTTTACACAAGAACCAGTTACTGACCTCCTAGTCATGGGCAAGTTGCCAATCTGAATCAAAAGGCTTGAAGTTGGCATTGACTTTCTGCACTCAGCACACTCCTTGACCTGGACTGCTTTTGATATACATGACCACCCTCAAAGCTGCATCCAAGTGTAATTTCCTTGGTTGCTGCATGAATTGACTCAACAATTGTACTGAATAAGCAATATCAGGCCTTGTGTTGGTGAGATAAATCAATTTCCCAATCAATCTTTGATAACTTGTCTTGTCCTTTAACAGCTCGTCTTCAGAAGTCAACCTCTTATTTTATTCCAAAGGAGTTGCAACAGGCCTTGCACCCCCCAATCCAGTTTCTTCAATTAACTCCAAAGCATACTTCCTTTGACTTATAATTATTCCCTTTGCTGATCTTAACATTTCTAAGCCAGGAAATACCTTAATTCACCAAGATCTTTCATTTTGAAATTTTTATTCAGATTCCTTTGAGTTCTTCAATCAATCCATTGTTATTTCCAGTTATCAAAAGATCATCCACATATATAAGCATTATGACTACTTTGCTTCCTTGTGACTTAGTAAACAATGAGTAGTCAAACTTGCTTTGAGAATAACCTGCCAACAGAAGAACCTCTGTGAGTTTCATGTTCCACTGCCTTGAAGCCTGCTTTAATCCATACAAGGATTTTTACAGTCTGCACACCCTGGTCTCCCCCTGATTGCAAAATCCTTCAGGTAAGGACATGTATACCTCCTCAACTAAATCACCCTGGAGGAAAGCATTGTAGACGTCCATTTGAAAAAGCGGCCATTGATGAATAGAAGCAAGGGCCAAGACTGTTCTAACCGTGACCATTTTTGCCACAGGTGAGAAGGTCTCAACATAATCAACCCCTTCTCTTTGAGTGTATCCTTTAGCAACAAGACGAGCTTTAAACCTCTCCACTTCTCCATTCGATTTATATTTGATGCGATACACCCATTTACTTCCAATGGGAGTCTTATTAGAAGGCAGGGGAACCAATGACCAGGTATTATTAGATTCCAAAGCTAAAAACTCCTCATTCATGGCTTTAATCCATTCAAGATTTTGAATGGCTTCAGTATAGGTCTTAGGCTCAACTAAATGAGATATAGAAGAAAGTTAAAGTTGAGTTTTAGTAGGAAGACGAGAATAAGAAAGAAAGTTAGAGATAGTATAAGTAC